ATTCTCTCTTTGTTCTGTACATTTAGTGTTTTTACTATGATATGCTGTGTGAGGTTTCTTTTCTGGTCCTGTCTATTTTGTGTTCTATATGCTTCATGTATTTGTATGGGGATGTCTTTCTTAATTTTGGGAAATTCTCTTCTACAATCCTGTATAAGATCTGGTCAATACCACTAACCTGAAATTCTTCTTCCTCTGTACAAAAGATCCATAGATTCAGTCTTTTCATGGTGTCCCAGATCTCTTGCATATTCCATTCCTGTGTTTTTAAAAAAAATTTTCCAAAATCTTTGCTTGAGTCGTCCAATTCTTCAACTTTATCCTCCAGTGTTGATTGTTTTCCATTTCATTCATTCTAGCAGTGAGGCTTTCCCTTGTTTCAAGTTGGCTTACTGAGTTTTGCACTTCCTTCTTCATTTCTGCCTGAGTTTTCTTCAATGTTTCCATCTCTTTTGTGAATTCATTCAGAAGTTTATCCCTCTCTTCTTTTAGCTCTTTGTTCTTTAAATTCGTTGAATTCCTTGATCATGTTTATGATTGTTGTTTTAAATTCAGTGTCCTGGGTTATCTCCAAGGGGTTCTCCTTGTAGAACTCTTCTACAGGATTGGTGGGGTTTGGTGGGGACATAGTGTTTTGGCTTTTCATTTTATTCTTTTGTTGTGGTTTTGGCATGTGAATTTCTTTTGTTGTTTATGATTCTGATACGAGAATTAAGTTGAAGTATGCTTCTGTTTGTATTATCTGGATGCCTAGATCCTTTGTTTATTGGTTATGTAAAGCTGGTTGGTACAGGTTCAGGTTCTCTGAGGTTTATTTTGGCTTATTCAGGGGTATCCACAGAAGCCCAATTCAGGTTCCAGTCAGGTACACTCAGGCTTCCTTCACCACATGGTGGCAGGATCCAAGCTGTCTCAGGCAGTCCTGTGCATTGTCAACCCAGTGCCAGAGGGGTGCCAGAACTCGGCACTCTGGTGGCCTGCTGAGATCCCAGCCTTAGCCTACCAAAGCCAGATCTG